GGAAAAATAGATGAGAGCTTTCGATGCGTTATAATTGACATTTCGAATGAATCTTCGGTTACGAAATAGTTCACATTCTCCTTCTAATAAGCTTGCTCAATGCCAAATAACAAGCAAACGTGGTCGTGAATGCAATTACGGTAGTCACACCGAAAGACAAATTGATGGAAAAAGACACGTGTAAAAATAAGCATTCAAACTGCTGGATGTGTGAGCGAACCAGTACAACTGCTTCACATGTTTTTGTTCATCTGCAGGTTTTATTCTTTCATATGAACCGTAAACGTAATATTTTGATCATAGTTAACTTTAGGGGCAACTGACAAGTTAAAATGTAAACATGTACCAATTGATCTTGTGATTGTGATGGACGAATCAAGCAGTATCGGAGCTGATGATTATCAGGTTGGTGTCGAAATTGATTTTGGTATAAACTAATCAGCATTTATTTTAAATTAAAGATCAAATACCGACCATGGCTTCATTATTATACGATGCATAATGACTTTTCAATCCATCAAATGCTCAAATAATTTCTTCTTAAAAATTAGTCATTATATCAGTACATACAAGCTTCGTTTGAGTAAGTTTTGTAGAGTGGAAGTGCGATGAATTTTGAAGTTTAACACAAAAAAAACAAAGTTATATCATAAATTTCTCGGTGATAAAGAGCAGTTAATTTCATTTGTACACTGAAATGAGCATGAACGCAGTTTATCCAAGAAAAATTACCAAATTAAAACTTTTTTAATTGACAGACAGCGTTGGACGCAGCAGCTGGCATTACGCAAAGACTTCGCATTGGTACAACACAAGATGCGAGTTTTCATACTTTCTTTATTTTTCAACCTTCTTCCCGAGTCGTTCACACAAGCAGTTTGCGCTGAATCTTTTGAACGTCTTTCAATCTGGTAACATTTGTTATTTCGCTCTCAGAATTCAAATGAAGCAAGCTTGTTGAATGAGCTGAAAAATCGCAATATTGTAGCAGTACAAAAGTTGATACCTGATGTTTAATTTCAGGACAGCCGTGTTGGAATGGTGTCGTTCAGTGATGGGGGACGTGTCAGATTTGGCTTGGATCAATACAAAACGAACTCAGATGTAACATCAGCAATCCGCCAGTCAGACTACGGAAGAGGTCTAACGAACATTGCGGCTGGAATGCATGTCGCAACAACTGAGGTAAGAGCTTGCTAACTGCAATGCACATCAAAAATAAAATGATCATGATATGAAAATATGAAAGCAGTACTTGCTTCAAAGCGTCCTATATGAATGCTACAAGCCTCATAGTGAATATTTACTCATAATGCATAATACTAAAGGTTTTCGCAAAAGCAAAAGACCGTGCTCTGAGAAAGGTGATGCTTGTGATAACCGATGGTATGGATATCACTGATGTTGGAAAGGAGCATGCTCTAGCAGAGAAAGCTGGCATCGTCACATATGTAATTGGAGTAGGCGAAGGTTCACCTTCCACATTTTATTCAAACAAATATTTCACTGGAGTANAATACTACCTCAATGTTATCTACCCACCCAAATTGCAAGTGATGCATCTGATATAATGGCTTAATCATTCAAATTTCTTCCAGAAACTGACTATGAAGAATTGGTTAAAGCAGCTGGTGATAAAAAACATGTCTTCACCTTTGCCAACTACCAAACTTTAGCTGATGAGATTGATTTAGTATGCAGCAGTTTCATGCTTGGTGAGTGATTTTACTTTGTAATTCTAAG